AAAAATATCCCCCTTTCGAGTTCATATTTAATATTTGCTTGCTTTCAAAAATGCTATCTTATCGCAAATTACTATGGATCACTATAGAGCTTAAGCAAATCCTGGCAAAAACAATGTTCACATATTTATGCTCAATGGATCTATTTGATAATCATGAGTGCATTTATCGTTCAGTTGTGGAGAAACTTCGTATTCATTTTATAGAGGTATTGTTCCAATGACGTGTGAAGAGCTATTCAATTCCATCAACAAATTCAACGATTTAAAAATGGTAGGCATTTATGTACTTCTTATTTATATTGATTATTTATGTGGACTAGTTTATAATGTATAAAATATTTTTAAAGTCTTTTCAAGTAACTATTTCTATGCTGGAGATCTACAATGAACAGGTTCATGATCTTTTAAGCAAGGATAAAGTACCCCCTGGAGGATTACCTGTCCGTCAATTACCAAATCAGGGCTTTATTGTGCAAGGTCTTAGCAAGGTTCCTGTTGGTTCCTATCATGAAATTGAGCAGCGTATGGAACAAGGTATGACTATTTAATGAGCATAAAGAGAAATATGGTTATTTTATGTACGATATGTTTATTAAATCAAAGAAGCTTTTGCTTTATCAAGAAAATTTTAATTTATGCACCCTATGACTGTTGCTTCTGAAGTTTGTCAAGTTCTGGCTCTACAAATTAAATTATACCCTCCTTGAGGAAACATCAATCATACTAAAACTTAATCAGGGCTTATATTGAGCCTAGAGGCCAAATTCATTCAAACGTTACTCTTTAAAAAGATATTGTTACATTTATAATCACTTTGTGGTAAGACATGTCAACTTTCCAACTAACACTGGTATATTTTCAAAAGTCATTTCGATGCTCAAATTCTCTGAGCATTGTTTGTCATATTTTAGGCTATATATAAATATATCTACACACGAGTTTAAGAATAGCGTTACGAGTTTCCTTTAAGATTCTTCACAATTTTATAATAATGTATAACATATTTGACTAAATACCTTGTTATAGGTACATCAAATCGAACTGTTGCCGCTACAAATATGAATACCACAAGTAGTCGAGCACATACAGTTGTGTGCATTACTTTCGATCAATTAATCAGTTCCGATTCCGGAAACGTACAAAAAAAAAGTTCGACCATCAATCTAGTTGATTTGGCAGGTAAGAAGTTAATTATAACTTACTCCATTTAAAATTACTTACCTTTTATTGATCTTAGATGGACATTTAGATTAATAGCTAAGTCTTAATGCCAAACTGCTGTAGCATAACGAAAGTTAGCCGACGTCTATTGGCAAGATAGACCTACGAATCTCTTCATTATGTACCTCCATACGAAATTAAAGTTTTGACATTAGCTATGTATTGAGGTTGATTGACATTGTTTTCGCAACTTGATCATATTAGTAGGAAGACTTAGAAGAACGCACCTAGTCCGGAGTCCATTGTATGCATGCTCGTTTCCAAAGTCGGACTGTGGACGTGGTACATTCCCAGACGGTTCGAAGGCATCGTCAGTGAGTCTCTCCATTTTTAGCACCATACAAAAACTCGTTAAAGAGACAGGTGAAGCCGATCCTTTGACCAAACGTATGCTAAACAGTTGTGGTATCTCCCCTTCTGTCCTGGGTTATTCACATTTTCTATATCCTCCTATCACGCCTTCACTGTTACAATTTTTTAAAATGCCTATCTCGATGTAGTGTGGCCTGCTCCTTTGAGCGGCATTCATGAAAACCCTTAACACTCCACGCTGGCGTTCTCACTGCTCTTACCCTTGTGCTGGGAATGTTGATCAGAGTCTGTCTTATTGTTACGCAGTCCTCATTCCCTAGGTCTTATCACAGTCTCTCTTTTGCTCTGTAATATCCGTCTACTCTCTCCCTGGTTCACGTATTTCACTCGACCCGTGCCACCGAATCTGTGCTGCTTGAGCGTTATTCACCCTTCCCTGCTCCTGCGTCACTAATTCGAGGCTAAAGCCTCTGAGTAAGTCTCATGGTCACGCCTTTGCGGCATAAATTATGTCTATGGTAAAAACATACCTACTGTCAGCCAACTAGCTCCAGTCTCCGCTAAGTCTATTCTTTTTCTATCCCTAATACCAAGTCTATGACTTCCCATGCCCTAGTCTCTTGTGTGCCAACCCACAAATGTTGTGGTACTGCTCGCTTTGGTTAAGTTTAATGTTGAACCACAACGTTTGTGAGTTGGCACACAAGAGATTAGGGCATAGGAAGTCATAGGCTTGGTATTAAAGATAGAAAGAGGATAGAAGCAGTGGAAACTTGAGCTAGTTGGCTAACAATAGTCGTGATTCAAGGATCACGTATATGTTCAAACACGTCCATTGTTAGCCAAATAACTTTAGTATCCATCTCGTCTTTTATACTTCTATCTGTAATACCATGTCTATCACTTCCTACGTCCTAGTCTCTTGTGAGTCAACCCACAATTGTCGTGGTTCTACTCGTTTTGATTAGGCTCGGTGAAGACGTCTCCTCTTTGCTTCTAATTATGCCTTTCTCATCCCCTTGCGATCTCTTTTCCTAACATTAAGGATATAATCTTGATTCAGTCGTCTTCTTTATACTGATCTTGCTGTTCCCTGGTCTTCTCCGAGTTTGTTTAGGCAATATGCAAAGTTTTCGCTGATTGGATTTAGCATAACT